CGTAAGATTACCGAGTGTGAAACAATAGGAACTGGGTAGAGCTACAGCCCTTAAGCTCAGTCACAAACCCTTGAATCTCTCCTTTGAACATCTCAATTAAGGAGTCTTTGTCACAAGACACTACCTAATTGCAAAGAAGTTGAAAAATAAGTTGGCATTTTCATTCTTGACCCTAGGGTGATATTTGTGAGGTAGAGTACTGGTTAAAGTCATGGGCTAGGTTAAAAAAAAAAATAATATGTATTACTTGGGGAAAATTTACCATAAAATTGGCTTAATGGCAAAATATATGCATTCTTCACCTGTTGAAAGAAAAAAAACATAAGACGATTTTAAAAAACCTTTCGCTTTTAGAGAAATACACGTTTTAAGAATGTTACTTTACAATTGCCTTAGAACTGGGCAGCTGAGGACAGACAGAGGTGAGCAAGAGACTTTTCACTATACATTCCTACATACTTTCTGAATTTCAAATCATATATTCAAATTATAAATGCAAGCTGATAAAGAACAAAACTATGATGTATTTGCTATTAGAAAATAAAATCAAAATCTCCAGATAATAAAATATGGCAGAGGATTAGGACAAAAAAATCAGCCACCTAGTTAGTTAATATATCACTCTCTCTAATTCCCAAACCATTTGATAGTTATTTTATTCATTGTTTAAATACCAGGGTGGAGGGATGGTAATCTACCCTTCCACCTACCCCCCCACCCCCCCCCCCACCCCCCCCACCCCCCACCCCCACCCCCCCACCCCCCACCCCCCCCCCCCCCCCCCCCCCCCCCCCCCCCCCCCGCAAAAGAAAAAACGAGAGGGTCTTCTCCAGAAAGACCTTTATTCTCCACCACACAAATCCCATTAACACTAATCAGCACAATGATTAAGCACATTGTAGTTAAGTACTCCAGTTGATAAGGACTCCTTTGGAAAAAAAAAAAGGTTCCCATAGAGACAGGTGAAGGCTATCATCAAACTCAGCTTTCAGCACAAGAAGTGGTGTCACAGATTGGAGAGTTAAGATTGTTTTAGTATTAATCTGGAGACTTTTTTTTCTAAACTTCACTTGACTTCATCCATTCAAAAAAACGCTTATGAGAGTCCCTCTTACAGAGGCTTATAGCCTGGCACAGTACCAAATACTTGGGAGGGGAGTGGAGCGTGGGCAAGAGAACTAGGAGAAAGAAGGCCTCAAAGTTAAGAGATGGTTCTTACCCCAAGAACAGAATAGAATTCTGTTGAGGAAAACAGCCACTGAAAGAAATAATGACATTATGATGGTAATCCAACCCCTCCATCTATAACCCAGCCTGTCCTCACCCCTAGGGCTGGTCAGTTTCTAATCTAGTTTCACTTTCCCATCTTCAAGCTGCAGCACAGCTGGGTTTCCAGCTGGCTGGGGAAGAAAAGATTCTTTAAATAAACAGCAATTTAAAAATATGCAGTTGCTTTTGCTATACTGAATTTTGTGAACCACCTTCCTCTAATATGTGAATCTGGGTGCCCGAATGAATGAATAACTGTCCATCCTAAAGTTCATAAGGTCTCCCGGGAATACACATTTTCCATCTTTGACAACAAACTACACTATACATTGAAAACCGCAAACCAGAAAGTCCCAAAGAGTATTTTTCTATGTGTCTGTTCAGTAAGGAAACAGATTAAAAACATAAACAGAAAAGCATCAAAATAGGGTGTGATTCTACCAAAATACATGTAACCATGGTTGAAAATGCAGGATATTTGCAGAACAGGATGCTCTTGCAGCATTGCAAGGAGTTGCTAATCGCTGAGAGCCCTTTCTAGCTCATTATCTTCTCCTTTCCACAGAATGCACAGAAAACACCTTCATGTATGCAATCTTCTGAAAAATGCAAAGATTTGAATCAACTCTTTACCATTCGAGGCAGTAACTATAGCTCAATGACACACACATTTGCTCTATAAAATGCCCCTCTGGCAGGTATTGTTATTCCAAGAGGACTTCAGAGACTGCAAGTCAACATTTCACAGATTCAGGGAATTTAACCTTTCAGACGACATTTTTGAAGGGGGTCTAACTTGACCCTTGTAGTGATGGTATGCACCAACTTTTCAGCATAATACAACCTTCTATATGGTTTATTACCCAAAGTCCCCATCCACCAATGCACATCTTTTTAAATGATTTCCCAAAGAACCACACCTCTCAGAACCCAGACACACTTAGAGCTGAAACTGGCTAAACAAAGTATCAATTCAACCACAGTTGCTCAATATAAGGGCCATGATGACAGTTTCTAAGTGCCAGTTTCCCTATTTTGCAATGGGCAAATCTGCCCCAAGGAGAAAATGTTCCCAATGACAGAGTGGCCCAGAGGGTTTTCTTTAGAGATAGAAAACAGAAAATGAGTTTGTTAGTTATTTCCTGCTGAGCACAAGGAAGGTGTTGTGGTTAGTTAGGATGATTTTATTTCCTTATTTAATAGGCCATTACCAGTGCATTAGCCACCTAGTAGAAAAATAAGAAAATGCAGTTTCTAATCTCCTTATATAATCCCCTCAAGCTGATCCGTATCTATACAATATCAAGTCTAAGCAAAAATTTTTACTAAAAATTTTACAGTCTAAAATATTTACTTAACATTCCTGTTCCTTGATAATTTGTGATGTGTGAAGGCCTCTTTTCTGCAGTAATTGCAGTCCTAAATTTATCTTTTGAAGAACTCTACTACATACACTATTTTAATAATAGGAGACGATCAAAACCTAAAAGCAGACTATATTTCTGACCCCTAAATCTCTCATGATTTCCACATTCAACTAGTAAAAACATTAGCTAAAACAGACAGGGTATAATTGAAGAGGGAAGGAGAAGAGGAGGAGGAGGGGAGCGGAAAAGCTAGTTACTCTCTGGAGTTACCTGACGATGACCACCAGGGCTCAGTGGACCAGACCAAGGATTATGTGGCAATGTGCACTGTGCAACTCACCAAAAACCAAAATAGGAGCTGTCCTTGGACAAGGTTCAATAAATGTTTTTACTATCTATTTCCCACTGCATAATACAGAACCACAGCTCTCCAAGGGATGGAAGATAAAATACTTACCAGACTGAAAAATCAGAAATTTTTAACTGGTCTCAACTTGTCATCATAAAGCATTTCACAGCATAAAACCAACACTACAGAGCAGTCAACAATATTCCTCAGAACAATGTCGGAGAGATAAACTGCTGTTATCACCAACGTTTTTTGCCTCCTTATAAAAACACCATAAGATTCTTCTGATTAAAGCAAAGCAATCAGGGCCTCCCCGGTGGCGCAGCAGTTGAGCGCTGGGTTGCAAAGCTGCCTGCAGCCTCTGCAGCGCCGGTTCGATCCCCGGCTGCTCCCCGGACACCGGAGGAGGGTCCCGCATGGCCCGCAGACCTCTCCTGCCGCCCGCTGCTCCCCTCAGCAGTGTACTTCGGTCCTTCTGCCTGCTCTGTTCCCCGCTCTGGCTCTGGTGAATTCTCTCACCCTCCCTCGCTTCTGACTGTACCCAGTGCTTGTATAAATAAATAAATAAATCTTTAAAAAAAAAAAAAAAGCAAAGCAATCATAGTTTAACATAGTACCTAGATATACTCCCACCATTAAACTAAAATTTATCTCTTGAAAGACAGGAGGGGAAGAGGGTGGAGGAGGGAAACTTCCAAAAAGTCAATTGATCTAGAAAGATGAAGGCAGCACAACTTGCTATGAAGCACATTCTTTGCTTCTCAAACTTTATCTACAACACCCAGAATCAGTTGCTAAACTAGTAAACATACCCCAACTTCTAAGACAATCCAGGATATCTATCACAATTCAGTGATTATACAGCTCAGAGAGTCACACCACAAACACTAAAGTCAGGCTTAGTTGGGACAAAATGAAACCCCAATATGAGTAAGCACAAGACGAGCTAACACCAAATATTCCAGTATGGAGACAAATTGGTTTGAGATATTTTACTGAGAAGTAAATACTGGGTTCAGGCACAGGGGAAAAAAAAAAAAAAAGCTCTCACACTGACATTTCTTTGACTTTTGACTGGGGAGTCCTCCATTCCCAGCTGCACAGATCTACAGATTTCTACAGATGTCAGTGTTTTGTTCCTAATCACTGCATTCCTGTGCAGCACCCAACATTATGAAGCTGAGAGATGCAGTCCACACATCCTGCCAGTAAGATGTCAGAGCTGAACTTAGAGCATACAGCAGAAGTTACTCTCTTTCATTATCGTCACAATCAACAGACCTAGTAAGATCTCCCAGAAACAGCCAAAAGAGGTGTCTGCTTGCTAGTCCTAGAGGTTAAGAGGGGCTATGTCACCCGGTTAGCAAAGACAGGCAATCACACATGGGGGGGGGGGGGGGGAGAAGCCAAGCCACATGGAGGACAGAAAACAGTAGCAGAAAAAGTCCAACTCTGCCTGCGCCAGCGGTGTGGACGCACAGCCAGGGGCCCAGGGGAGGAAGGAGGGGGCGGGGGCCATCATTCTCTAGGAGAACTTGTAAGGGAGGCCTTCACAGCCTGAGAGTCTGCCCAGCTGCTCCTGCAGACCCTGCCAGCTTGGGCAAGGCAGGCCCATAGGAGCAGAGCGGACAAGGCCTCTGAGGGTCACTCCTGACTCACTGAGCCTCCGGCCAGCACCACCCAGACCTCTCCGTTTTTCCTGCCGCTACTGGGCTATGATGGCAGCTTTCCAGCCCCACATGCCATACATCAGCCGCAGATCCCTACTGGCACAGGCCAGCGCCTCCTCACGCCCCCCACTCCTGGCACACTTTGCACTTGATTCTTCTCTTCCCAACCCCAACCCCCTCACCCACTCGTGCCAAGGCGCCCTGCCCAGGGGCGGCCCCACCCCCCCACCCCCAGCGACCGGGCACCGCCAGGCCTGGGCACCTGCAGCACCTCCCCGCCCCACCCCCATTCTCCACCACCTCGCCCCTCCCCCCTTTCTCTAGCAGAGGGAGGGGGCGACTCACCGCAGTCAGTGCACAGGATCTTGCCCACCTCTTTCTTGAGGTTTTTGCCGTTGGTGTCGATGGGGGCAAAGGCCGTCTTAAAGACTAAGGGCTGCTCCGTGGGCTCCAGGAAAAAGATGTAGCGCTGGTTCCTTTCGAGCGGCGCACATGAGCCCACACTGATCACCTGCTCGCGCTGCAGCCCCCCGCTCCGGAGCGGCCACTTGTCCAGCACCTTCACCAGCGCTACCCGACCCGAGGCGGGCGGCTCGCGGGTGCTGTTGGAGCTGGAGCCGCCGGCCGGGGCCAGCCCCTGTACCTTGCCCTCCACCACCACGGGTGCCTTGTACGCCTGGTCCTGCACCGACTTGAGGCTAGGCGAGTAGCAGGCGAGGGACACACCGAAGAGCAGCATGGAGAAGCCGGGGGCCGGGTCGCGCCTCATGCCGCCGGCGGCTGCAGCTCGCGAGCGGGCGGCGGCTCTCCGGGCTGCGGGGCTGCGGGGCTGCGGCTGTTGCTGCGGCCGCAGCTCTGGGGGCGCAGCGGGACGGGAGATGCTGCTGTTGCTGCTGCTGCTCTCGCTGCTGCTGCTGCTGCTGCTCTCGCTGCTGCTGCTGCTGCTGCTGCTGCTGCTGCTGCTCTCGCTGCTGCTGCTGCTGCTCCTCTTGCTGCTGCTGCTGCCGCTGCTGCTGTTGTCGCTGAAGCTGCTGCTGCTGCTGTCGCTGAAGCTGCTGCACCGAGCCTTCTCCAGTGGCGGCGGCGGCAGCGCTGAGCAGCAAACCTGCCGCATCTGGCCAGGCCATTTGGGGGGCTCCGCCGCTCCGCCGCCGCCGCCTTGGGAGGGGAAACAGAGCCCGCTGGAAAACCGGAAACAGCGTAACGTTAGCGCCTCGTAGCCCTCCACCGGCAGCTCGGGGAGGTGGCCCAGCTAGAGCAGGGGGCAGGCGGCAAGTGGGCCGCGATACGCAGCGCGGCGCCGCGCAGCGCTCCCACCCTGCGCGCCAGGACCTGGAGGAGGATGCGGAGGATGGCACGCCCGCCCACTTGCTCTCTCGCGCCCCCCTCTACCCTCCGACCGAATGTGGAGCGCGGCTTCTGCAGGGGAAGCTAGGGACTGCACTCCGGCTTCAGGGCCCGCATGGGGCGCGGGAGGAATCGTGCTACCCTTTGCTCTTGGGATTTATCGGCATGACAGTGGGATAGTCCGCGAGGAGAGGGTGGAGTGGGAGATAACGGATTCTGTCACCGTCCTATGAGCGTGGGAGTGGGACGCAGGGCGTGCCCCTGCCTTTGGCCATCGACCGTAGGATGCGGCTGGCAGGTCGGCCTCCCGCCTCCTGGGCTGTCCCATTCCCTAGGAGGACCCTGGAGGCCAGCCTCTAATGGAGCCCACGTGCTTGACCGTGCCATCACCCAGTGGGCGCGGAAGATCCCTCTTGAGGTGGGGAAGGAACCCGTCCCGTCATTTTGGAAAGAGCTGGGGCTACACGGAGACTAGTCTCGACATTGAGGACACCTAACCAGGGGCGGTGTTTGGGAGAGGCTGAGTTTCTCCAGCTGCCCCCTGGACAGGCTGCACACTATGCAATCTCCTGTTTTAAAACGCCTCTCCCTAAGGGAGGTGAGGGTTTCTTGAGAGCCAACCTGAGAGCTAGAGGTGTCACGGGGAGAAGCTGCTCTATGGGGAAGGGTTTCTTTTCCAAACTCCATACTTGCAGGAGCGTTTGCACCACCAAAGTCAGCATCTGATTTTTAAAAGCAGGTCCACAATGTAGTCTCCTCCTATCAATAAGGTGCCAGAGAATTTTCAAAGCCCAGCTTATACCCTTGAAAAATGTGGAGCTCAGGAACTGGAGTGAGATCTCGGAGAACTGTATCCCTGACTGGGCCCCGCAGGAAATTTACCCAAGGATGTCTGACTTAGGCCAGGACTGTGCTTCTGGAAAAGGAAGGAGGGAACTAAAGATCTTTCCTGGCTAAGAAACATCATTTCTCCCATCCCACCCCAAATTCCCTCTAATGGCGTCATTTTATATTTGGCCACCCAATCCATTCCATTAAGTCCCTTCATCTCATCTTATCTCCCTCATCCAATCACACACCAAGTCCTTGGTTCCACCTTTTTAATAATCTCTAATTGATTTACTTCCTCTCCAACGCTGCTATGAGCACCTTAGTTCCAAGCGCTCATCATCTCTCACCTGGACTACTGCATAACCTCTTAAAAAAAAAATCTTGCTTTTTTTTAAAAAAAGATTTATTTGTTTACACAAGAACCTGGGTACAGGCTACCGCATAACCTCTTAACTGACCTCCGCACCTTCCCCCTCACGGTGTTCCTCCAGTCCTACCACTGCCAGTGATCGTTCTAAAAATAACATGTAAATAGGATCTGCCATGCCACTGCTTTTCGGAGTAAAGTCCAAATGCTGCAGCATGACTCTTCATGGGCTCCTGCCTGGCCAACTCCATCGTCTGGGAGCCAACCGCCTACCCAAGCGATGGTCAGCACTTCAGGCTATTTCTTGTATCCGGGAAGCCTCACCTCCACCTTGTCTACCTAAGAAATTATTCTTTCCTCAAGGCCCTGCTTAGCATTATTTCTCATTTTCCTCTATCCCCACCACCATATACATACACAATTAATCCATTTCTCCTCTCCATTACCTCACACATATTACTATTAGGGCACTGATCCATACCATACTTTAAGCCGCTGTTAATAGGTCTGTAAACCCACCAGTCTAGGTGTTTTAACACAGGGACCATGTCTTTGGATCCCTATCCAAAGGGAAGTTGGACACAGAGGTTGGCATAGAATAAGGATCAGCAAATCTTTGGTGAAAGAGGAGGGAAGGAAGAAAACTGAAAATCGTCTCTCTTAGCCGGGCAATCTTGCTGGCCCCTTCAGTATCCCCTTTCTCATGTTCGTAGGTCACAGGTCTCATCCATCACAGAACATCACCGTAAGGAGAATGCTAATTCCATCCTCTCGTTTTTCAAAGCAAGGAACAGTTTCAGGGAGGAAAGGGGACTTACTCAAGACCGCACACAGCCAGGTTTGTACTAACCTTCTGTTTCTGGGCTCAGAGCATAGTGAAGAGCTCGAGCTCTGGAGTCAGAGTTGGGTTTCAAGCTAATTTTGTAACTTATTAACTTTCGGATGAGTCTCTCTGTCTTAGTTTCCTCACTGTTATAGAGGTACTGGAGTCCAGCTCAATAAAGCTGGGATTTGCTCATTATGTACTTGTTTGACAAATATCCAACTGATTGGCTCCCCTGTCCAAGCACTAGGGCATGGCACTTGTCACTGGGTACACTCAGTGAACCAAGCTGACTCTGTTCCTGCTCTCAAAGCTCATAACTCTAGTTGGGAAGACATCAGTAAGCCGGTATGCAAATCGGTAACTCATTACTTAAAGGGATGCATGTCCTGAAGGAAATAAACAGAATGAAATGATAGGGAATAATGGAATAAGGGGAGGGTAGGTGGGCTTGGATAAGAGAAGGCTTCTCTAAGGAGATAACATTTAAATTGAGACTTGAAGGCTTTGAAGGATGTGGATTATGTGAGATAAAGGTGAAGTGCTTAGAACAATGCCTGATGCTGAGTAAAGGCCAAAATTAGTTTTGAATATTATTGGTATCTTCCTAATCCCAGTGGTTCCTAATCTAGGAGCAGAGAATACTGAAGTGGTTTGTAGTAATTGCAGACTTGGATTTTCTGTATATTAAAATAGGCAATGCAATTGTGATGAATAAAAATAGATTTTCTCACATTCCATTTTAAAGTTTGGCGAGACATTAAGTATGAAGAAGAGTGAAACCAGGTGAAGAAGAGTGGTAAGATATGCTATCATTTTGTCTTTTTCTAAAGGCTAAATATGTAAATGTTTGTAGAGCATCGGTTAACTTTGAAAGGACACAGTAGAAACTGAAACGAAACGAAAGGACCCCAGGTAACTGGGGAATGGGCTGCAAGAAGGATGCTTTTCATAGTAGTCCCTTTTGTACCTTGTGATTTTTGTATTCAAAAATGTTTTCTTACAAGGAAAATATTTAAGAGCATTCTCTAATTTTTCACTGTTGCTGAATTTTTAACATGTATTTTCCCAAGCAAATACTATTAAAATAGAACTATTATAATGAATTCCTGGAAAAAAAATTTACCTTAAAATGAGATTCTTATTCTCAAAAGTGTTAGAAATGATTGCATTATAATTTTATACTCTTTAGAGTGCAAAGGTAGGTTTTGAGATCCAATAGTCTACTAGAATTGCTACTGCCACCGATGGTGGGGACTTAGGCAGAGACTTCTAAAGGAAAAAGAGGTATCTATCCAGATTTGCTCAAGGTGTGATGTGTATGAAGAGAAATTTCCAGAATTAGCTTCAGCCATTTGGGCATTTGGTTTTCTAGGAGGACTGCCCAACACTATGTTGGCTTTTTCTTGGGCATTAGAGTGAATTAATATGCATGTCTTCCAAAATAAACCTTCATATTTTGTACCTGCTATCTCTTCATTGTAATTCAATAACTGATAATAAAAATCATAATAGCTACCATTTAGTAATGACCTATTGTGTGTCAGGAACTTCATGTTTATATGTCCATGCCTCAACAACTTTGCATTTTATAGTTGAAGAGAATTACAGGGGATTAATAATGACAGGCACAATTGGGACTCCATTTGGGCCGCCAACTGCCAAAGTGTTTGCATCAGGCACACCACCTCAGTTCTGCGAATGAGAGGCAGGACTCCGCCTCATTTCATTTTCATCTGAAAGGTTCTAATCCTCTCCAGGCTACTTCCACCAATGGGATATTCTCTGAAATTCATAACACTATAGAGCAAATGGTATAAGCATCACTTTACAAAAAGATGAGGAAAACTGAGACACAAAGAATTTAAATGACTTCTCCAAGATCACAAAGATTCTGATAAGGCCTACAGATATTACTAACTGAAGCTCACCTTTTGGGTTTTTTTGGTTGTTGTTCTCTCTCTCTCTTTCTCTCTCTCTCTTTGAAGATTTATTTATTTATACAAGGGCTGGGGTACAGGCCAGAGGTGCAAGAGGGTGAGAGGATTCACCAGAGACAAAGCAGGGAGCAGAACTGGCAGACGGACGGAAAGCACTGCTGAGGAGAGCAGCAGGCAAGACAGGAGAGGTCTGCCGCACCTGTGGGCAGACCCTAGCCAGCCGGGAATCGAACCCGCACTGCAGAGGCTGCAGATAGCTTCACAGCGCTGCGCTTAACCTGCTGCTGCACCACCGGGGAGGCCTATTTTTGTTCTCTTTTTTCCCCTCTTATTTATCTATTTATCTATCTCAACTCCACTGAGGCATAATCAACCAAAAAATTGTAATATATTTAATGTGTACAATGTGATCATTTCTTACACAATTAACACATCCATCACCTAATATCTTTTCCTTTTTCTTTCTTTTTTGGTGAGAATATAAGTTTTATTCTCTTAGTGAATTTCCACTATACCCTACAATACTGTCAACTCTTGCCACCACATTATACATTCGGTCCTAATAACTGAAGGTTTGCATCTTTTTACCAAACTCTCCCCTCTTTCACCTGCCAGCCCCTGGCAACCACAGTTCTTTTTCCTGTATCTATGAGTTTGACTTGTTTATTTGTTTGTTTGTTTTTATAGATAACATATTGTTATAGGACAGGGAGAGGGTCAGCCCAAACCCTGCAAACCTGCCTATTCTAAATGGGTTCTGCCATCCGCCGCATCAGCACAAAACATAGGAGACTTTAATGGGAAGGAACTTTAATAAAACTAGGAAACAATACAGGTAAGGCAAAGAGTCTAGTTTCTAGTTTCTAGTCTAGT